TTTCAGGTAATCTAAGAACTCCGGGTCAGTTCTTGCAATAAGAAATGACTTCAATAAATTACTCAAGTTTGACATCTAACTTTTCTTGAAGCAGGAGAAGGAGGCAATCCACTCGTTTCATAACCCTGATAAAACTACTATAAAGGATCGTACGGGATTATAGTACGTAACACGTCAAGCAAAACAAATGCAAATGCAATAAAGGGTTTATTTCTAAGTCAAAGATTATTCAATACAGATTTTGCGCATTTTGAAAGCTTGGCTTAGTGCAGACTGACGTTCGAGAATTTCAAGGTTTTTCTCCTGCTCGGCGATGAAACGGTCAATTTCTTCCTTCGAAGTTAAGGATGAACTCTTTTCGAATGTTTTCTTAACGTGACGAACAAAATAAGTGCGAAAATTATAGTCCGCGAAATTGTTGCTGGCACGCAGAAGATCCTTAAACAATTGCGCCATTCTTTGTTGGGTTGCCATCTTCATAAAATAAGAGCAAATAATTAGACCAGAGGAATCACCCGCAGAAACATTAAGTAAGCAAAACTAAAAGCGGAACACAAACGACAGTAAACACAAGAACAACAATAAAGTAAAAAACTGACGGTAAATACGGGACCGCCCTTACTTTTACTTTGAGTATGTCGCTTAAACTTCAGTCAAGTAAAACAGGACAGTCAATTTTCATAAATTTCTTCACCTGTTCCATAAATACACCAATTCTAGCTACCGAAACACGCTTTTTAGATTTTATTAATTATTTACATTTCCTCGAATAATTTTCAGGCTGCTGAACGAATTGTCGGATTGGAAGACATTGACCAGGCTGAAGATCCCAACGTCTACTAATCCATCGATTGCATGTCAATTTCCTGGCTACTGCTATCAAGGATCGTTAGGGATCCAGTAAGTCGTATTGCTCACCTTTTATTTTTATTTTTATACAGTTTTTCACCTTTTTCCACTAGCGTAGCACGGTAGATTAGTTACTAAAAATTAGCTCTACACTAGGAAGTTTGCGTTGCGTCTTTTCTAATACTCTTTTTATACGTGTTGTAGGTTTAGCCACTACAATTTGGTGACCCCGTTTTTGCTGCTGTTCACTTTTTTCAACTTACTCTACGCAACTGTTTTTCGCATTCCATTTTTTGTCGCGTTCACGTCCTTTTCGATTAGCCACATGAAGACCAGCTTTTCTTTGAAATAGGCTCAGACGACACTGCTTCTACCGTGTCCTGCGATTCAGACGATAGGGAAGAGCGCAATGCTTTTCGAATTTCCATTAAGCTGCCAACTTATGAAGTTCGCGAC